AAATAATGAAATACATGCAGATTGCCAGTCACAGGCTGTTGTCCAGTTAACCAATGTAGCTACAAACAGTGCAGCATATCTCTACTCAATCGAAAGCATTTCACTCTGTTGCACACATTTTGGGGCATTTTTGTAAGTGACAGTGATGTAATTGCTTTGTACTCTGATATGGGCACATTCTCTACCTTACCTGTCTCTTCCTTGTTGAAGTATGAAACATTGCTTTCATCATGAATGTGTTTTGTGAAACATTAGAAGCTTTAACATAGTTTTTTTTTTTTTTTCAAAGTGTGGGCTGGTTAAGGCAAGCAGATTATGTTCATATGCCCTGGAAAGGAAAACAAAGCAGTTTTTGTGACAGAGGCTTTGCTATGACATAATTAAAGGTAAGTCAAAAGTTTATATTTTAATCAGGGGAAATTTTAAAACCATGAGAGAAAATGTATCTGTGTTATGTACCTCCCACTCTGTTACTTTCAGTACAGTCTGTGTGTGTGTTGTTCATGTGAGGAGGGTCCTAAGAGACATGGCAAGTAAAAGACAATTTTATATATTGAAAAAGTCTTAGGCACCCTATTTTTTTTTTTAGTACAAACTTTGTTATAGATTTTTATTTAATGATCTCTACATTATCAAGTCAGTACAAAGACATTTTAGATTTCCAAACATTAGCATATTATGTAAGAGACCATTTTTCAGACAAAAAAACATAATGAAGGCTGCTGGGTTTTGCTGCAAAAATAAGAAGCAAGTGTGACACTCAAAGTCTGCAGAAGAACTGTGGCTGCTTCTGTAAGATGATCAGTAACACTTACAGCTCATTTCCTTGTAAAACTGCACACACTGTACCTGAGACTGCTACTTTTTTTTTTAAATCAAAGGGTCGTCACACCAAAAATTGACTTTGTTTCATTGATTACTGTTTACAGCTCTTTATAGCATTTTTTAAATGTAGAAATATTTAATCTCATTATTTTTGAAAGTGTCTTTGCTCTACAGCATTTATTTGCTATACTATATATATTAGTACTATATATATACATATACACACACACACACACACACACTCATATATATATATATATATATATATATATATATATATATATATATATATATATATATATAGAGAGAGAGAGAGAGAGAGAGAGAGAGAGAGAGAGAGAGAGAGTTAATTCTCAGAATATTATTCTGCTCTAATTCCATTATGTGGGTCAACATAATCAATGATAAGCATTACATGATTTTGCAAAGTATTATTGATCTATAAGGTTAATGACACACCATTGCTGGATTTTCAGTTTCAATACTTGCTTGCATTCAAATGTGCATGGGCAACACAAACATTTGTCTTGCTATCCTTGTAATGAACTTTCACCGACATAATTATTAATCCATGCACACGCGCACACACACACCCACACACACACACACACACACACACACACACACACACACACACACACACTATCTGACATGCTCTAGATACAAAAGAATTGAAATGCCTGAGCTGTATTAGGTGACCTTACTAGAGAAACTTGTGGATGTGCATGTTGCCTCTGCTATGAGCAGAGGCACGAAACCTGATATGGACCAAACTGTGAGCACTGAGCCTTCCAGTCATCAGTTTATTCACCCAACACTTCTTACCACAGGAGCCTTTTTGATTTAGTAACAATATCAAAACAAACCACCTAAGATGGGAGTTCACATGCTGTAAGACTGCATGGTCTTGAAATTACATTTCTAGGAATATTTACCATATAATGGTTAGAAAATATGTTATAGAAAATGTCAGACATATTCACATACATCACAGCTATATTAAAAAAAAAAAAACATTTATAAACAATCCATTGTCCAACAGTGCAAGAAAGGAAACACAAATAATTAATTAACTGTGTCAGATTTAAAAAGCCTTATGGCTTGTGCCAGAATTAACAAGTCTACTTTTTATAGTTTGGCTCATAAACAGAAGCTTTAAGAAATCTGTCGGGTTTTATTTACTGTAGTAGACTAAAGGCTGACATTTATTACCATGCAATTTGTTTTCCAAAGCCAATTTTCTGCTTTGAAGTGTTGAACAATATATTTTTTTTGTACATTCATAATGCCATTACTTGAGCTTGGTATAACTTCAAATAAAAAGCATTTTTGTGTAAATAGCTCTTCTGTTGCTTTTGAATGAAACCAGCATTAGCTTTAACCTCTTATAGGTTTGGGGACTGGTCCTAAACTCATGCTTTTCAAAGTCATATGAGCTGTGTACAATTCTTTCTTATTTCTCTGTAGAACCTCCAACAATAGATGCCCAGTCACACTCATCTCAATGTAAACACCAATGTAATATTTTACCAGATATTCAGATGTACATATCTCTTCTTGTCAAGGCATTGTAATGGAATTGCAGTATATGAAGAAAAACAGCACTGTAATTTGATGGTTAACACTGGTTCCTTGCTATTTTGTTTAGATGGAAGTAATTTTTTTGTGTGTTTATGTTTTGTTGCTTTTTTCATGGTCATAAATGAATGCACTACGCTGATGTGGTGTAACATTCAAAATTTGCAGATGCAGTGGGGTTTTCTAACCTATGTTGGGCCACAATCTGCATTTAAGGGCAGAGTCTTCACTATGTATGCAACCTCCCCTCAATATAAGTAATCTTCATTAGCCAAATGCTAACTAAATACAACAGACTTAATCATTTTATTTGTTACAGATAAGAACATACAGAGCAGCTGTGGCTACTAAAGGACAATTCACATAGAAAGCTTTTATGGAAGCATCTTTTAGTTTGACATGCACTTCTATTTTCACCAGTCTTTTAATGTATGCCAGCTGTGAGATGCACCGTAAAAACATGCAACTATCTGTCCTGCTGCACATTTTACATGCATGTAAGTGAAGCATACACACTATAGAAACTCTGTAGAAATCCATCAAGTCCAAAATACATTTTGTTTAACTGTATTAAAATAACAAAGTTATTTACATAATACTTTGCAATATCAATGCTATTAGACTATCAGTATCATTATCAGTCAGTTTCACATTTTACTGAAGGTCAAATCGCCTCTCCTGAATTTTTTTACTGAACTTTCTCTCTCTCATAACCTTCCTTTGATGCTCATTTAGGCCCACTCTAAAAAGATGAGTTTATTATTATCAAGAGCTCCAGTAACTGTGCATGCATCTGCATATATCACTGAATATCTGTAACTACAGTCAGGTCCATAAATATTGGGACATCGACACAATTCTAACATTTTTGGCTCTATACACCACCACAATGGATTTCAAATGAAATGAACAAGATGTGCTTTAACTGCAGACTGTCAGGTTTAATTACATACATGCCCACTACCACCATGCTTCACTGATGAGGTGGTATGCTTAGGATCATGAGCAGTTCCTTTCCTTCTGCATACTCTTCTCTTCCCATCACTCTGGTACAAGTTGATCTTGGTCTCATCTGTCCATAGGATGTTGTTCCAGAACTGTGAAGGCTTTTTTAGATGTCGTTTGGCAAACTCTAATCTGGCCTTC